CTTATTTTGCTTAGCATGATTTCCTCCAGTTCTTCCCATCCGGCGATGTTCAGCACATTTTTTAATGCTGTTTTTGTGGTAAAATTAGGTGCCTCAGCTGATACTTGGGTTGGCTTATACTCGAGTATAGAGGTACATAGGAGTTGGCTTCAATAGTCTATAAAGGAGCTGATAAGGTACCTGGAATAAGGAAGAGTTACTCTTCGAAGCTAGCTGCTCCTACTCAAGGTCAAGCAAGCAATATATAGGCGGTCAGGAGAAGTCTAAAAGACATGGGAATTTAACAGGAGACTGTGACTTGATTTTTGAGTTGCAAAGTCTAACTCCTTGGAGGTTTGCTTCTAATATTAAATACACTAGTCAGTTGTCCTCAAAACATCACTATAGCAACCACTTTTATCACTTGAAACTAAGCCTCTGAATAGACACACTCACACATGAATGCATGCTCAGAGGAAGGCTATAAGAAACTCCCCTTGTTTTGCAAGAAGCCCAAATTTGCTTGGTAGATTGATTTGACTTGCAAAAGAAGGGCATTCCTTAGGTGTCCACTCCAGGGCAATTCCTCTGATTCTCACAGCCAATCAATAAAGTAGCCGTCTACCCCTAGTTTTATGAGTCCCTCAATGGCACACATGGTTAAGCAATTTGGCTACCAAGCAAAAGGCTAATGATCCACCCAGAGGCTCCTTGGAAGAAAGGCCTGGTGATCTCTTTCCCAAAGATTACGGCTCCTGAAAGCATGATAATGTGTAGTCCTTCTTTGAAACCCATGGGCTCACCCACCATAGGTCAGTTTCAGTTTGGTGGCGACTGACTGATCGGTATGCCCATTTTACTGTGGAGGAAAGCTGGAAGCAGAAAGGATAAAAGAACTTGCCCAGTGTCACAGGGCTCATAATTGGCAGGGCTAGGTGTCCAAGGATGTTTGCTTCTAGCGAACTGTGTATTTTCCCTTGAACTCTATGGGAAAGTATCATCAACGAATACCTAGTTTTGATCTTATAATTTGTGAAATGAAGCAGACTACATTATAAGTTTCTTAAACAAATCATCCACATAGTAAGAATCACTCCAAAGTTGCACTAGAGGTGAGAGACATCACTTTATAGAGGGAAAGAATATTATGTCAATATTGTTAATTTGTGGACAGAGCAGTTTATGGCCATCATTGAACTTCAGTTCAGTCTTCTCTTTGAGGTCATCAGATTTGAGTGGCCCTAGGTGGATTGCTTTCCAAGGTTCTCTACGGCAAGAGCGAGTCTGGGTTTGAAATCCGTAGCACCAGTCCAGCGATGGGAATAGACCTTTTTAGGGAGCCTGCTCTAAGCCAGGTATTGTCACACCTACCAAAGCCCTGCAACAACGCCGCGACCACGCTGGCACGTTAGGGTTCGTTTTTCTGTCAGAGTCCAAAGAAAGGGGGCTCTTTGCTCGGATCAGCACCTGTCAGAGGCACTGCTTCAGGTTCAGCATGGTTGTTTGCTAACTGGCTGCCGGGACAGACTGACAAACCAACCTCTCTGTCGTCAAGCAGCTTCTGACTCACAGCAGTCCGTGTGCTGGGGAGAAGAAGTGAGCCCCACAGGGTGCTCCTGGCTGACAGCTTCATGCAAGCACATCCCCAGCTCCTTCTTTTGTGGCATTGCCGGGGCTACTGCAGCATTGAGCAGCCCGCCTGTCCACCTTTGGCTGCACACGTGGATCTTCAGCTGCTCGGGATGCTCTCCTAACGCCTTTCCACAGAAGGGGGTCTGAGGAGTAGCAGGAGTGGCGTTCCCGTGAAGCTCTTTAGCACAGCAGAACCTCAAGCCCCACCTCAGCCATGCCGAGTCAGGATGGCCGGATTTTACAGATGCACACTACAGTTTCAGCTCAGTCTCCAGCTTTTTCTCCCATGCAGATTGAAAGTAGACTGCAGGGCCATCCACTCAGGTTTCCCACGGGGACCCTTAACTGCAGGAGTTACTGGCTTGTAGAGCACAGACCCAGGCTCTGCCTCTTTTCTGGGAGACTCAAGGAGAAGTCCCCCACTGGTGATCGATCAAACCCATTGTCGTCCTGTTGATTCCATCTCACGATGGCCCAAGAAGACAGACTAGAACTGCCCCGGAGGCTTTCCAAGGTCATAGACCATATGGAAGCAGACGGCCACATCGTTCCCCCTCAGACCAGCTGGCTGGAAACCACCACGCTGTGGTTGGCAGCCAAACGCTTAACCATTGTGCCACCAGAACTCCTCCCCATTGGCGGTCAGTCTCTGTAATTGCAGGATTGACTTAACTTTCGGCTTAGAATCTCCGTTGGGTTTCAAGATAGTGGGCAATTGTGCCTTTGGAGAGACCGTGCATACTTAAACAACGTGTAACATATAAACGTTTTCTTCACTCATCTTAGAAGCAGACATGTCCCAGCCACCATGCACAAGTCCATGTATCCTCAAAGTTTTCACAGCCTAACCACAGTCTCTTCCCTCTCCAGGGCCAGGCACAGTGGGGTGTCATCTCACTGAAGGAGAATTAGGCATTGTCATTTACTGTCCCAATCTCTTTCCTTTGCCTATAACAGGGACAGGATGAAACCCACTGGCAGGGGCCACCTGTGGCCCTGCATCCCATCTCAAAGTGTGGTGACCTTGACGTCATCTTCGAATATAAAGCTTCCAGCCAGAAACTCACAGTGACCATTGTGAGAGCCCAGGGCCTCCCGGACAAGGACCGAAGCGGGGTCAACTCCTGGCAAGTTCACATAGTGCTCCTGCCCAGTAAGAAGCAGAGGGGCCGGACGAGCATACAGAGAGGGCCCAACCCCGTCTTCAAGGAGAAGGTCACCTTCTCCAAACTTGAGCCCCGAGAGGTGGCTGCCTGCGCTGTGCGCTTCCGCCTGTACGCAGCCCGCAGGGTCACCCGCGAAAGAATGATGGCCGAGAAGCTCTTCTATCTTCGCCACCTGCACCCCAAAGGGGAAATGAACGTGGCCCTGGTCCTGGCGCCCAGAAGTAATATCAGTGTGAGTATGTTAAATGGTGCTGCTAATGAAATGGGGTGTTTGATGACCTGGGCTGGTCAGCCCGTGATTTATTGCATTCAGACGGTGAATTCAGACACCTTCATTTAATTTTCCATTTGGCTCTCCTCATCCTTATAAGCCATGATTTGCACTTCATGGTAACAGTAATCAAGATAACTATAAAACAAAGAATGTGGTCCTAGTCGCCCCTAATCTCATCTTATTCCTGTTTGTTAGTAGACAGTGCCCTTCAAAATGGGACAATAGCGACAGGCAGATGAAATTCAGAGTTATAATATTTCACATAAGTGATTATGGCTGGCACGGGTCTTATTAATTGAGTCTAACTCAGAGGAGAGTCATTTACTTGCATTTCTAATAAATCCAACCAAAGCCCAGCACCACAGGGTCAATTCTGACTCATGACTACCTGTAGGATACGGTCAAACTATTCCTTAGGGTTTCTGAGACTATGAATCTGTATGGGAGCAGACTCCTTTTTGTCCCAGAGAGTAGCTGGTGGGGTTAAATCCCCAAACTCTCTGTTAGCAACCCAATGCTTAACCCATAGTGTCACAGGTATCCCACCACGAACAGGTCCAGCTTTGAAATCCTGATTTTTGGTGTGGCACAATGGTTAGCCAGTTGGCACCCAACTAAAAAGGCTGACAGTTCGAAGCCATCCAGTGGCTCCACAGCAAGAGAGACATCGTCGTACAGATGGCAGCCCAAAGCACCATTGTGCAGTTTGACTTTGTTCCACTCTAAGTCGACTTTTCCCTATGAGTCGAAATTGACTGGCTAGGGTCCAATAACAGTAGGAGATCTGCCTGCAGCTTTCTTCATCTCATCCCTGGTGCTTGTGCAGGCCAGAAATCTTAGAGACGTTACCTGCTATTTCTCTCTTTTCTACTTGAAATTCTGTTGGCTTTCTCTTCAAAATATTCAGAACCTAATTGAGGGGCCAGAATGAACCTTCCAAACATAAGTCAGATCATGCCTCTCCTCTGCTCAAATGCTTCCCTTAAGCTGTGAATATTGCTGATCTGAAATCCTGGTAAACGGAAGCCACAGAGATCAGTAGGAATCCCGTATGAGGAAGCACATATTAGGGATGACCATGCCCAGATTCCTGAGGGCACAGAGTTTAATTGGGAAAACATGCCAGTTACTTTGCATGGAAGCATTCTCCCACTCACCAGGTATTGCTGGGTTGGATGGTATGGCACGCCTTGGGCTGTGCATGAAGGACTGAGTGATTTACACCAGGGGAAAGAACACTCAGGAGGCGATCCTAACCGGAAAGTAAGCAAATATTTCAACGTTGGCCGATTACCCCTTACACAGCAAGGCTCTAGATACCTGCAGAACCGCCTAGCCCCATAGCTTACAGATGGCTCCATGAAAGACCAGGGCTCTGCAAAGATGCCTGTGGTTTGGTACAAGGGAGAGTTTCCTACCAATGTAAGGGATTTGTTTTTGGTGACATCTCTTTAGATGGTGCTTTCTGTTTTCATAAAGAGTCACAGAAACTCACAGGGGCAGTTCTACCCTGTCCTATAGCGTCACAGAGGCAGCAACAACGCGCTCACAGGGAATTTGTTTTTCTTTTTAATCGGTGTTTTATCACTACCTGCCCCCCCCCCTCCATCCAGACACTTTTACTCATTGGGGTTTCTTACAAGGAGCTATAGGAAATGATATCAGCTAAGGAAGGTTTAAGCAGAAGGCAGTGCCCTCATTTCTGGTGGAGACGATGGGGTCAGGGAGGCTGGCTGCCCATTCTCAGCAGAGCTGCCTGCACGCCCCGGTCTCAGCTGAGCTTCAGCTCCTGGTGGTCTTTTCTCTGCTCTTCCTGCTGTGCCTGGAGCACACGGTGGGTGGGTCTTCGTGACCAGAAGCTGGGGACTCACTTCCGGAGCCCACCTTGCAGATATCGGGATCCCTGTGTCCGTTTCTCTACCCAGCAGTTGCCAAGGACTCGTTTTCCATTTGACTCATTTCTTTAGGAAGTGAAGTGTAGCATCTGGCACACACCTTACAACCTCAAGAAGAACTCACCCCAGGTGTCCTCTGGGATGGCCAAAAGTGGTGTTCAGACAAACTGCCTTCTGAACGGCTACATTCACTGAGACGCCACAGAGAACCGAAACATAACGCGTGCCCAGAGTGGGTAACCATAGAAACATCCCAGCACAAACTGCGCAGGAGGGAGTTTCCGACTTTATAAATGTATTATTAGCGCTCCATGTATCTCAGAGGGTTTGGTTTACATCTTTGTCCATTTTTGCCTTCAGAGAGGAGATACTGAATGGAAACGGCTCTTGAAACAAACATGTCAGCCAATGATGCAGGGGATCTCCACCATGACTGTGTCCCCGGGCCCATTATCATTCACACTGAGTGCGCCCTGCGTCATCTTTGGCAGCTGTGGAGAATGGGGCACAATTTCACCAAACATACTATCGGCTGACTGCCAAAGAGAGCGGAGTGCAGTGGGGGCCAATGGAGTCTTTGTTGTTCTTCCCCTCCAGAGTGGAGAGGCTCAGCTCAGCCCATCTGCAGTTTCTCACAGTGACAGTGCTTCTTCTACGCAGTCCTTGTCCCATGGAGGGCCGCCAGAGCTACTGGTGGGGCTGTCTTACAACGCTACAACGGGGCGATTATCCGTGGAAATCATCAAAGGCAGCCATTTCCGAAACCTCGCTGTGAACAGAGCACCTGGTAAGTGCGCGTCTGCTCCCCCAGCGAGTAGAAGGCCGTCCTGCTTGCATCTGAGTGCTTCACATTTTAGATTGGAGCCGCCCTCACGAAGCGATAGCCCTGAGGGCTGAGTTCCTTTCTAGTTAGTCAGATGGAAGACTTCTTCAACTCGGAGGCACGTGTTGGGACAAGAGGTTGGCTTCCATATCAATGTATCTATTTAGGAGGAAAGAATGAAGTCCTCTTAGTAAAAATGACATGCACAAGCAATTAAAATCTGCTTTAGAAAGGCCGAATCCAAGCTTTGAATAGGCCACCATGATTTCAACTTCATGCTTTACCATTTTCTCTGATGCTGTCCAATTGACTTATCTTTTCTGGGCATCAGTTGACTCATTCAGAGCATAAGTGTATTCGTAACTTTCTCTTGGAGTTGCTTTTGGATTTAATGGAATGGACCCCGCCCCCCAGGGGAGCTAACCCACTGAAACCACCCCTGGGTAGCACCGCATAACATAGCACAGGGTTCAGGAAGCCAGAATCAACTACCTGGTGCCTCTGCCCATGACCTCAATTCCTCTCAACCCCCAAGAGGTGGGAGTTTGACTATTGGAATACTGTTAAAAATGTAGCTTACCTTTTTCTGAGCTAACTTGTCTGGCGAAAACAGATTAAATGAGGCCAAGAGGAGATGGTATCTGCTGAACCCAGATGGTACCCAGAGCTCATGCAAGTGCATCCACTTGGTGAAATGTAATTGATATATAGAACTCTAGCAGAAAGAAGGCTTGCCGGCATGCTGGGTTTCCAGTGCAAGTACAGAGGGGTAAATTAGAAAGAGGTGGAGTGGAGGCTGAATGAGCTCGTCCATTCTAGGTACCAAGGTCTTATTGAAATAAAGATGTAATGAGTAAATATGTATGGGGTAGACTGATAGAGTCAATGTACATTGGGCTTCTGTCAGCAGATCAAGAGCTAGCAGAGATAGTAGCAAAAAGCCAGTGTCGAAACCAAATCTAGACATTCACTCGTTATTCTGCTCTCAATGTTGCTGCAGTCCACAGAGTTCCTGTTCAGTAGGGCGGCTCCTTAGGCAATCTGAATTAATGCCACTAAACCAAGTTAGTAAAAAAATAAAAGTCCCAGAATCCTGAGTAACAGAATAAATCAGGTGTTTACACCAAATTCTGTATCGCTGCTCAGAGCCAGGAGAGAGAGAAAGAGAGAGTGAGAGAGAGAGATTCATTCAAATTCAAATTATGTAACAGATGCTGCTTATTAACTCCACTGCTAGGCTCTCTTTACCAGACACAAGTTTAGTTTTTCAAAAAAAGTAGCTCTGGATTTACTTAAGATCTGGAGTCACCTCTTTTCCTGAAGACCTTTTGCCAGTTTCCTTCCTGCTCTCATGGGAGGTGGTGAGTCCTGCACCGTGTTGAAGGGAGGGAGCAGTGGAGCCAGGTGTGAACGGATGGAATGGGGTGGGGAGGACACAGTCATGGCGGCTTCCCCGGCTGAGGAGCTTTCGTTTGCATGCTGGTGGTACCGGTGAGTACAGGTGAAGCACATTGTGGTTTTTCAATGCCATTGAGTTGGGCCCAGACCTGGGGAGACGCCACTGGACTGCTGTGACCCACAGGTGTTTTCATTAGGTGCTTTCCGAAAGTAGATCAATCATTAACCCTTTCCTTTCAGTTTCCCTCATTCTGAAAGCTCTGTGGAACCCCATTCAGCATCATAGCAACATCCAGATCTCTGTGGACAGATGACTGGTAGCTGTCCCGGACAACTGGACAGATGACTGTCCATCCTGGACAGATGACTGGTAGTTGTCCGCATGGGGCCTCAGATGGGAAGCAACCACTGTCTCCTGTATAGAAGTTGAGAATTCCACCATTAAACCACAATATGATGATGAAGAAAGCATTATCTGGGGGCTTAAAAATGATGATGTTTTTTAATTCAGGCTTTGCCACCTCCTAGCTACTAGGGTTTTCATTTTTCCTGAGTCTCAGTTCTTATATCTGTAAAATGGAAGTCATAATTACACTTACAGTATTTGTGTTGCTTAATGTCCATTCTGGCAATGTCCAATACATACAAGTCTGTGGGCCTGAACCCCTAACCCAGGCTCCCCTTCAGCTCCTATGCTGCAGCAGTTCTGGTCTCTTTGTTTGTCTCATGTGGTCCAATGAGACACAGACTAAAAGCTACCTACCCCAAGTACTCCAGTCCTGGTTCTGGGTCCTTTGCCCCCTTTGACCCAGGCTGTTCCCTCCCTGGGAAGACTCTCCTGGTGAGCTGGGCTTTCTTGCAGTTGGCTTATGAAAGAAGGCAGCAATCACGGCACAGGACTTAGCAGCATGCTTCCCTGAGGCATCTACAGCAGGCGCTGCTGGGTCCTCAGCCCCCAGGTCTGTGCGGTCAGGAGTCCTGGGCTGCCTGCAGACACAGTGTTTGTGCAACGTCCAAACCTATTTCACAGAATGGGTGTGAAGCAGTGCAGACCTGTGTGTTCTAGGCGGGGATGATAACATAGAAAACTGTGATGTTGTATGCAAATATGTTTATATATGAGGATGTGGAAATAGATCTATGTGCCTATATTTATAGGTTTAGTATTAAGGTAGCAGAAGGACATTGGGCCTCCACTCAAGTACTCCCTCAATGCAAGAATACTTTGTTCTACTAAATTGGCGTTCTATGGTGCTCACCTTCCCTACACAACTGCCGAAGACAACGCGGGTGAATAAGCAAAAGTGGTGAAGAAAGCTGATGGTGCCCGGCTATCAAAGGATATAGCATCTGGGGTCTTAAAAGCTTGAAGGTAAACAAGCGGCCAACTAGCTCAGAAGCAACAAAGCCCACATGGAAGAACACATTAGCCTGTGTGATCACGAGGTGCCGAAGGGATCAGTTATCTGGCCTCAAAGAAGAAAAAGTCTTATCATTGTTTGCTCACCTCCATGATATGATTGCTGAAGACAAATGGGTACATAAGCAAATGTGGCAAAGAAAGCTGATGGTGCCCGGCTATCAAAGGGTATAGCATCTGGAGTCTTAAAGGCTTGAAGGTAAACAAGCAGCCATCTAGCTCAGAAGCAACAAAGCCCACATGGAAGAAGCACACCAGCCTGTGCGATCACGAGGTGTCG